GCATAATATTATTGTAGCATTATATTTTTTCCTGTCAGCTTGTATATAATTTAGTATTTGTTAGATTACACAATTTCATCTATAGTTTGGTCAAGGTAAATATGAAATGATAATTTATAGCTATTAACAATATAATGCTAGTTTAGTGTAAAATTCAATTACTAGCAATATAGGGAACATAAAAACCATTATTCTTTTAACGTGTTGTTTTTATGTATAAATTGTGTCAAGTAAAAATGCCGTAAAACTTTACTAATGAAATAAACTACATGAAAAACTTTTTAAAAAGAGCTTAAGATACACTGCTGAACCAAGAAAATAAAGTTAGGTGATTTTAGATGACCTTTAATTATACCAGTGAATTAGGCCGTGGAGTCTATAATGTTATCCTTCTACCTCCTCCAGATTCCTGCCTAATCCCTGAAAAATGGATAGCTTAAAGATAATTTTTTCAAGCTAGGTATTGTCTACCCAAGGCTATTCGAATAAATAAGTTAGCAGTGACTTATGGTGCCAGAACGTTTTTCAGAAAAGTAGATTGACTGGAATGAGAAGACATCAGAATATATTTGTGAATTTGCATAATGAAAAGAAAAAAACTTTAAATTGTTTGATCACTTAGATCGGTTAGACTGTGTAGAAAATTTGAAAAAGAATTTATTGAAATTACAAGATTTATACTACCTGACTTGAAGTCTAATTATAAAGCTACACAATTCTGACAATATGTATTGACATAAAGATAGACAAATAGATCAGTGGAACAGAATAGAGTCCATAAATAGGCTTACACACATATTTGTCAGTTGTTTTCGACCCAGGTACAGTATTTAGGGATAAATGTAACAAAGGATGTGCAAAACCTCGACAGTGGCAACTTGAAAGCATTGCTGAGAGAAATTTAGAAGGCCTAAATAGATGGAGAGATATTCCGTGTTCATGGATTGGCAGACTTGTTATTGTTCAGTCATCGTAATGATCACTTCAAATCCCATTAGGTTTTTTTTTTTTGCCTTAGAAATTGGCAAGCTGATTTTAAAATTCATGTGGAAATGCAAAGGTCTAGAATAGTCAAAAATTAAGTTTTGAAAAAGAAAAAGTTGGAGAACTCATACTTCCCTACTTTGACTTATTACAAAGATACAGTAATAAAGTTAGTATGGTGTTCGCGTCAAGGAAGACAAATATATCAATGGAATTGAGTAGAGATTACAGAGTTAAACCTATATATATATGGTCAATGGATTTTTGACAGAGAAGCAAAGGCAGTTCGTCTTTTCAACAAATAGTGCTAAAACAATTGCATATCCATATGCAATAAAAATGAACTTTGACCTGTACTTTATACCATATACAAAAATTATCTCAAAATGGATTATAGCCTAAATTTAAAATCTAAAATTATAGAGATTCTAGAAGAGAACATGGGAGAAGATTTCTGTGACATCAAAAGTATGATCCACAGAAGTAAAAATTGTTAACTTGAAGACATTAGAAATTGAAAATTTTATGAGTTAGTAACTTCTACTCTTCCAGAGACAGTTGTAAGAGAATGAGAGTTGTGTTCTGGCTCTCATAAGTTTCACCGTGTTTTACTCTTGATCTTAAGAGCTCAGACAGGGAGCAGGTGAAATTCTCTCCACAGATGGAGAAAATATGTACAAATCCCGTATCTGATAAAAGAGTTGTATCAGTAATATATAAATAACTCTTAAAACACTCTTAGACAACCCAATTTAAAAATGATCAGATGGTCTGAACAGGCACTTCATCAAAGAATACAAATTCATGACAGATAAGCACATGAAAAGATTCTCATCCTTGTTAATTAGTAGGGAAATTTAAAACACTGACCACACTAAATGTTGGCAAGGATTTGGGCCATTTGGAACTCTCATACACTACTGGCGAGAGTTGGAAATGGTAAAACCACTTTGGAAAACAGTTTGGTAGTTCTTACAAAGTTAAATATAAACATACCATATGTCCCAGTCATTCCATTCCTTGTTATTTACTCAAGAGAAAAGAAAGTGTGTCCATGCAAAGACTTGTACACAGAAGTTCCTAGTAGCTTTATTTGTAACAGCCAAAAGTGAAAACAACTCAAATGTCTTTCAGTGGATGAATGGATAAAAACAGTTGTACAATCATATAATGGAATACTACTCAGCAATAAAGAGAAATGAAGTATTCATACCCGTAGCAACATGGATAAATCACAAAATATTTATGTTAAGTGAGAGAGGCCAGACAAAAGAGAGTACATACTTCAAGTTTCCATTTATATAAAATTCTAGAAAATGCTAACTAATGTATGGTGACAGAAAGCAGTCAGTGGTTGCTTGGGAATGGAATGAGCAGGAGGGATAAAGGGGGAGCAGGGAGATCTTTGGGGTAAGATGGGTATATTCATTATTAGATTATAGTGATAGTTTTATCATATGTCAAAACTTATCAAATTGTATACCTTACATACGTAAAGTTTTGTGTATCAGTTATACCTCAATAAAGAGGTTTCAGATGCATTATACATTCTACCTTATTTGATCAGTCAAGTTAATAAAATAATTAAAAATATATGTTTATATCCAGACCAGTGCTTCACTTTGTTCTTCTGTTTTCCGTATGAAATGCACTTTGACATTCAAAAAAAACCTGTTGCCATCGAGGGGATTCCGACTCATAGCGACCCTATAGGACAGAGTAGAACTGCCCTATAGAGTTTCCAAGGAGTGGTTGGTGGATTTGAACTACTGACCTTTTGGTTAACAGCCGAACTCTTAACCACTATACCACCAGGGCTCCACTTTGACATTAGTGTGCAGTTAAATTATCCATCATTGAATTTAATGGGCAGTTCAGCCCATAGAAGCTAAAAAATTCCTGTGTACATTTGCACATATGCTTCCATATGGATGTTTATATGTTGCCATGATATAGAATATTCCTGTGTCTAGTTTGGTGAGATTGAGCTATTTTCCTTTAGCCTTATATGACTGTGAAGGTCACATATTGTCCCTCAAATTAAAGCAAAACGTGCAATCATTGTGAAAGTGTTTTTTCTTATAAGTCAAGTCAGTACAGTTGAGTTGTGTGTAACAATTTAAGTGATGTGGCCGGAGGTTTAGAAACTGAGAGCCAAGGGTTAATTCAAGTTGACCCTAGATGAACACTTGATTGGGGTGTTGTAGACGGGGTTTATCTTAAGGATACATGGCTAAAGGGGCAAAAATCTCTTTCCGCTCTGGAACTGTTATACTCTGCTTTGTATATGTAATCTTCTCTTTGCAAGAATGAGTCAAATGGAAATATTTCTTGGTAGGATCTGTTACATGATATCTTTATGTCATGTTGACTCTGTGCAAAACCATTAATTATTTTATGTATGCTAGAGGTTTATCTTCTTACTGGCTAGGAGCTCTTGATGAGAACCATTTGTGGGCTACTTTTAACTCCTGAGAGACTTGTTTGCAGTTATCAGTCTTCAGGCGGTTCTGTCATAATAATGATAAAAGCAACCAGTTGTTTAGCACTGCAGAGTACTTTACGTGTTTCTTGTCTACTTTTCTCCTCACAGTTACCCTGCATGTTTGGTGGTATTATCCTCTTGATCTTGCTCAAGGGCTCAAATAGGTAGCAAGTGAAACATGGCAAAACTGGGTTCAGATTGAAGCCCATCTGTTCATCTAACTACTATACTGTGCTCCAATGGCAGATGAAATGCCATCACATTAAATGTGTATCATTCAGTTATACGTCACCACAGTTATGAGTGGGGCCATGTAAGTAGACATAGAGAACGTCAGACAAATTTTTAAATGGTCTAATTTTTAGGACAGATAGAGTTTTACTGCTAACAAAATTGATTGATGTATAGTAATTTTATACTAAGATGCTTCATCCTTTGTTTTCTGCAGACTATCAGTGTGCATATAAAACTATTCCAAAAACATGGGAAACAAGAATGAACAAATGTAATTGTTGAGCACATTTTAAGTCAATCTATCACATATGCAAAATTGCCAAGAAAAAAGTCTGTTAAAAAGAATATTATTGTACATTAATTTTTTTATGGGGGAGAGGAGATGCGTGAGGTTTTCCCAAGTTCAGTGCTGTCCAGTAGAAATATAATGTGAGCTACACATAAATAATTTTAAAATTCCTAGTAGCCATAGTTAAAAGAGGAACAAGTGAACAGGTGGAATTAACTTCAACAATATAGTTAATGTAACCAAATATATCCTAAATATTGTCTTTTCAACATGAAATCAATATAAAAATTATTAGTGATATTTTATTCCTTTTTTTGTAGTAAGATTTCAAAATATGGTGTGCATTTTGCCCTTCTTGCATATCTCAATTCAGAGGCTAAATTTTCATCTGAAATACATCCTCTATATTTATATTTGATAAAATTTACACTTAAAAAGTAGATTCACGTTTCAGGCTGTTCCAAATATACTTAAAAGTTTTTCAATAGCTGAATCTCGTATCATTTTTTAAATTTAATTTTACTTTAATTAAAAGTAAATATCCAAGTTTTAAGTGCTCAATAGCTAATGTAGCTAGTGGAATTAAAAAAACCCAAACTGATAAGACTCGTGATTCTTTGGATGTGTGTGTGTGAAGGGGTAAGGAGTTGTTAAGTGGTACCACTTTATATCTTGATTTTATCTTAACATAGTTAGCCTTAAGATTTTAATGTTTTACATTGTATGTTCAAAGTATTTGTTACGTTTTTTCATGATTTTAAACTTACTAAGATTTTTATAACATATGTGATGTAGCTTAGTTTGTTGAATAACTGCAGTTTTAAGACATAGCTATAATTTAGATTCTTCTTTTTGTGTAACATCCATTTTAACTATATAATGTATACCTTGCTTCTGTTCCAATATATAAACAGAAATTAGCGGTACCTTCTAACTTTTCAGCTTTGAGAATAAATATTCAAATGCCCTTAATTTGTGTAGTCCATTGAACTGTTGCCCTTAAATTTCATGAAAATGTATAGTTTTTAATTTGTTAAAGCCAGGTGTAGCCCTTCATTTCCAGTTTTTATAGTTATTGTGCATTTCTTGGTATGTTGCAGGAGAAAAGCCTTTCAAATGTGAGGAGTGTAACTTTGCCTCCACCACACAGTCCCATCTGACTCGGCACAAGCGCGTGCACACCGGAGAAAAGCCCTACAGGTGCCCCTGGTGCGACTACAGGTAACAGCGCGCTACTGAGCAGGTGTCAGACGGGTCACCATGACATGCTAAGACCCTTGGAAATTCACATCAAAAGCATATTTTTTTTTCTGAATCAACATGAATTATCACAATTTAAGCATATTTACATGTTGGGTTGGGCATTTATTTTAGTGAGCTGTTTTTAAGAACAAAAGTTCTTTACTCTTTATAACCTTAACATTTTAGGTTTTGTAATTCTTTGGGACACTTAAATTTCAAGTGTGTCTCTTCCCTTGTTCAAAGTAAGGAACCATCCCAATTAAGTACTTAATTCAGTACCTGCAGCTTTTCATCTACTGTGCGTAAAGCACTGATCTAGGCCATGAAAAGACAGAATAAATGTTTACTGCCTCTAAGGATATCACAGCATAGTAAGCATGGTATACTGTTCATAAGCAATTTCAATACACGTTTGAATAGGTGCATGAAAAGATCAGGGGAGAACTTAGAGAAGGACCCCTTTCAGCCAGCAGGAAGTCCTCACCGCGCTGAGGAGGTAGTAGCATTTCAGCTGTGGCTCAAAGGATGATAGAATTTCAAAGACAGCATGTGTATTCTGAGAGGATGAGGGGGTGATGATGCAAAAAGAGATCATGTCTTTTCAGGCCAGTATGCAGCAGAGTCTGGGATACACTTAGGGAATTTAGGGCGTGGTAAATAATCCTGCCTGATTGTATGACAGAATGTGAAGAGAGGGTACCATGGAAAATAAGGGGGATGGGGTAGAGGCTTAACCCAACCTAGCTGCACCTGCAGCAGGTGAGAGGGACAGGGACCTCCTCTGGCTGTCTGTGGGACACCTCAGCATTGTAGGCGGTGGACTGACTTCTTCTCTGAGACAGTTAATCTGCTTGACTGTGAAGCCTGAATTGGGCTGCGAGAATCTTCTTTTCCCTGGAGCTGAAGATGGCAGCCAAAGGGGCCGTCTAGGATGACATCAACATCCAACATATTTCTCTAAATTCAGTCCTCTTTTGTTACATATTGGAATATATACCTGAAACCTGCAGCCTTGTTTAAAAATAGATCTTGGTATTCCTGTGCATGTAGCCTGTGTATTCAGCAAATATATTGCAGTAATCTCTATTATTAGCCACATTGTTCCATTAAGTTTTATGTTAAAGGTCATCTAATAGTGCAAAGATATTACAGATATATTTCATTCATTAATTATTCATTCATTCAACGTTTTATGAGTTCTGTCTTGGCTTAACACTTAGATTGGTGTTTTTTGGAAATTTGGTAGAACTGTGGTCCAATTAGAGATAGACTCAGAAATGCTAAGGTGCTGCTAATATGAGTTCTTTAAAAAATAAACATTATTGAATGGTTTATTTTTCCTTATTACAGAGATCATGCCATAGTTGCCTTTCCTGTAAAACACAGAAAAGCAATTAGGAAATTATACAAATTCCCATAATCATCACTCTTAGCTCTTAGGATTATATCCTGTCAGTCTGCACTCTGTATGTAAGGTTGTTCTTGTTTCTTGGCAGGGAGTTTTTGTTTTTTTCAGTATAAATTTTATTTTTCACACTTAAAAAATTGAAAAAGGACCCGGGGTGGCACAAATGGTTAAGCACCTGACTACTAACTGAAAGGTTGGCACTTTGAACCCACCTGGAGGAGCCTCAGAAGACAGGCCTGGCAATCTGCTTCTGAAAGGTCACAGCCTTGAAAACCCTACGGCGCAGTTCTACTCTGCACACGTGGGCTCGTCATGAGTCAGGATCGACTCCACGACAACTGACAACAACAAACAACAACAAAAAATTGTAAACACTTTTCCATTTCATTGATCATTATTCTGTAACTTTGGTTTTAAGTAGCAGAGCTGTTACTTCAGACAAGAGCATATACAGAACCCCATTATAAAACAAATAAAAGTGTTAATCACCACAGATAAGAAGCCATGGTGATGCAGTGGTTAAGTGCTCAGCTGCGAACTGAAAGGTTGGCAGTTAAAACCCCTGCCCAACAACTCCACTAGAGAAAGACCTGGCGATCTGCTTCCATAAAGATTACAGGCTAGAAAACCCTATGGGGCAGTTCTTCCGCTATCACACGGGATCGCTATGAGTCAGAATCAACTCAACGGCACCTAACAACACCAGCACCAAAAAGGGGATTTCATAGTTAAAATCTGTAATATTATTATAATATTGGCAAATAGTGTGATCAGGCTCTTGTGACAAGCAGACAATTTTCAGATGGGCGAGAGTTAGTGATGACTGTTGCCATTGAATTAACTTTAGCATCGAGTATATTTCTTTATTTTGGTATAAGCATGCAGCGTAAAGGTATAGTTAAGAACTCAGTCGCAAGACAAATCCAGACACAGCCACCTGTTAACTGTGTACATGACCTTTGTCAAATTATTTAACCTTTCTAAGCTGTCACTAACTCATTGGTAAAATACAGATAATTAGTGTACCAACCCTTAGGATCATTGTGACTATTAGATGAGAAACACATTTTGATTCCTTAGCACAGAACCTGGCACCTAGTATTTGCCTGATAAATATTAGTTCTGTTATCACTGTCATTTCCGGTTAGTCTTTTAGCTAGAGTACTGGTTTTACCTCACTTGGAATCTCAGGATACTGTTAAGTGAGGTAATACCCTGAAGGTCTTCAATATGTTAAAATTCTGTTTATAATACATGCCCATGTGACTATTGTTGTTGTTGTTTTGTTTTTCAGTTTTTGAGGTAGTTATATATTAAATCCAAAAATCAGTTCTTGGATAATGGCTAAAATATCATAGAGTTTGAAAACACCTAGTTTGGAAGCTACTGTTCTGCAGTATCCTTTCAGTACTTCATGGCCCCAGTTAGATTGGTGGACAGTAATCAATTCATTGTTTTTGGACATTTAAGCCATTTTCAGGTTTTTACTCTTTAAAGATTTGTACCTAAATCTTTATGCATATCCATGATTTTTGTTTTTAGAATAAATCCCTAGAATTGATTTCTGCAAAGATTCTGATTTGCGTTTTTCTTTCAGAGCAGCACTGTGCTGTGATAGTCACTCCGTCTTTGTCTGCACTTGAAGTATTTCAAGGTTTTTCAGATTTCATTGGTTTGAAAGTGTATTATACTTTTTGCTAAGGTTGAGGTTGTATTACTTGTCCCTATTCAAGTTATCTCCCAGAAATAGCATCCCTTTCATTTAGTGGGACATTTGAGCCAACTGGATTCCATCCATATTTTACCTCTGCCAGGCTCTGGGTTAAAAAGTAGGAGATGCTGTCTAAGTATATTGTCACTGTCCTCTCAATTCAAATTCAGGACATTTAATCCAGCGATGGCCACCGAATTTCCTTTTGTAGTGCTTAAAGTCCTTGATAAAAGGATGAATTTATTTAAATCTTTTAAATAATTTTATTATTATTGAAAGTAAGTGGTTTGGACACTTTTTGTGCGTAAGACAGATTAATTGTTCTTTGTACATATGGTTAGGTTTGCTTTTGCCAGTGAACAAAAGGCAAGTTGACCTTAACCATGAATACAAAAAATATGCAAATATGTAATACTTCTGAAGATAGGGACTGTGAATGAAATATGAAAATTATTACAAATACCTTTGTTTTCTGTTGATGAGAAAAAGACTTTAAAGTGACCAGGTAGCAAAGTGCAAAGGAATTGTTTGGGTTGCACAGGATAAGAACAAAATGCTTACCATATCACCTCACATCAATATAGAAAATGTCTTCTTTGAGAAGAGACATATTTGAGTATGGATGATTTCCACAGATTAAAAATATTTTTACAATGATCATATATTTCCTTAGAAGACACGGCCATGTTTATCTTACTGATATCTGTCCATTATATTTTATTGCTAAAAATACTTAAATAACTTTTTTTCCCACTTAAATTTTTATTTGCTTAATGTAGATGGATAAAAATTACTCCTGTAGAGTATTCCTGTCTTTGTCATTATTAGCATTTATTTGAAGATGTTACCATCAGTAGAAACTGAAGTTTTATTTAAATTTCAGTTGAAAGTATATTTCTTTTTTTATAAATTGAACATTAGTGGAGAAATGCTAGTAATGATAATTATTCATGCAAAATGTGAATATAGATTTGTTTACAAAAGAATTTTATAATTGGTCTTTTGAACCTGGGGCTATTTTTCAAGTTTGCATTATTAATTTCAGCAGTGACATCTCATTCTATTTAGATGTAAACATGTGCCCCTTTCCTAAGCTTCCACTGTCTAAAATATCCAAGTCTAAATCCATTAGAAATCAGTATATTCCATCATTACTCCAAAACTTTTTCACCATTAGTTACTATGCATTATCATTTCAAAGCGCAAATTTAGATTCACAGCGCGCTGTCCTGCCGTATTATTTTATGCAGCAAATTCTGTAGATTTGTTTCTACATTAAAATGGAAACTAACATTTTTCTTTATTTTGTATTTTCCTTTGTTATGCATTGATTGTCACTTCTATGCTAACAGGAGAAAGCAATTCAAAAACCTTAACATGTTGTAGTTAGTACCCTTTCCAATAATGTAAAATCCTTATTTCTCTGTAGAAATGAACAATATTAAACTGCAGTCTGTTCACTGTTACATCTTTCATGTAATAGCAGTGAGCTTCGCAGAAGTTGGCCACGGTCGGACTGTCTTTTACGTGATAATTATCTTCCCACTGGCTTCCATTTTTTATTTAGAATTTGTGGGGGAAATACAATAAATGCTCATCAATCAATAAGCCATTAATAGGTTGTGAATGATAACACAATATTAAAAATATTAAGAATAATCCCCTCTTGTACTCCAAATGTCATTTAATAAATTATAGAAACAAATGCAAGGCAAACTCTGGCAGTTTGATCTCTTTATCTCACCTCTGTTACTGACCTTTGGATAAATCCAGTGTCCCCAAGACTGGTGTTAGCCAGTTTTTCCCTCCGCTGCACACCTACCTCAGTGCCTACCCGTCCATACCCTTCTTTTTAAACAT